ACGTGCGAGGAGATTATCACATCGTTCGCGCCTTCCGCAGTGCATTTGCGCCGCCAGCTGGAGGCGGCTGGCACTTTCATCGCCGACAGAAGTGCGCTATTTTGCTCCCGCACAGGTCTCGGAGCCAAGGTTATGCAGAGGTCCATGTCGGTCAACCTACCAATCAAGTGGCAGACGTCGGTCCGAGATCTGGGGGTCATGCCTTCCGCAGGCGCTCGTCGTAATGTGAGCAAGCTTCGGCAGAGGCAAGCTGTCGCCTACCGAAAGAGTAAGAAGGTGTATTTTCTTGCTCGGCTTGTTGGCCGATCGAGCAAGTTGTGCAAACGGGGTCTTGGCCGTGGTCGTGGGGCCACGAAGTCTTAGGGCTGACCCCTGGACAGGTCAAGCCAATGAGGGCTCAGGCCGCCACGTGCTCTGGGTTGTGGGCCCTTGGCTCGTGTGCCACCACTCTCTTGGGGTTGTTGGGGGGTGCGAAGGATGACCCCCGGTCTAGGCTTCGTTATGAGCAGCTCAATGGATTGGCAATGGCTTTGACTGAACTTGACCACAGATCCCGCAGGTCGTGTGCTGACGTTTGGAATCAGATTTCCTCTAAGACCGATCAGACCAAGTACCGCTGGCAGATTGTCAAGGGGCCGATGTCGGCCACCATTGCTGTGCTTCGTGATCTAGGCTGGCAGGCTTTGTCACAAGTGCATTGGTGCACGGTGGAGTCTGATTTGAGGTAGCACGATGGAGATTTCCCACTTCAGCTTTGGGATCCTCTCTTGAAAACATGTTCCTCGTTTTCCTGGGACCTGGCCTCGAAGCACTTTCGCGGTGCTGGGCTTGAAAGAGGTGTTGATTTCATTTCTGTGCGTAGGTTTCTTTCTAAGCTCGCACGTGGCGGCGAGCATGAGTCCGCTGTATCCTGCGAAATGTTCTTATCGCGGGATCGTGGCCTGAGGAACGATTGTGTCTCTGCTAGCAAAGGACTTTTGCGGCAGGTGTGGAGTCGCCCCTGAGACCCCGTTGCGCAGATTTTGGCAGTGCGAGTGCAATCAAGATATCCCTAGTCACACTATTGAGATGACTGGCCCCCTTTCCCCCAGGGCCATTGCCGAAAGTGAGAAAGTGAGTTTCTGGTGTCGTGGTCTCCCGTCGTTGAGCGACCCCCTGGGCCTTCTCCCCCCGCCCCAGCGTCTTGCGTGGGATTGGGGGGGGGGGGTGCATCGGAGGGGAACTTATACGAGGGGGTGTCTGGGAAATTGATGGGTCAGGAGGTAAATATTCTCGAGGCTGGAGGTTCAGGAGATGTGCATGGTCGTTCGTGCATCTCGGACCAGACGGCAGGATCGAGGCTGCCAGGTGTGAATCCTTGCCGAGCGCGCGTCAGTCGTCGGCGGGAGCCGGGCTGTTTGCGCTCGTCGAGCTTTTGCTCGCTGGTGTCGGAGATGTGCGAGTTTATTGTGACTGTCTCCTCGCCGTGAAGGATGTCAGAAAGAGCCTCTGGGCTAAACGTAAATCTAACATGCTTGACCCCTGGGCCGAATGCCGCCGCGTTCTGTCCGGTCGAGGGGGTTCGCCCCAACTGATCTGGACCAAGGGGCGCCCCGACCAAGCCCAGGCCGAGATTTTTTTCCGGATGTTGGGATGTATCTGAACAAGCTTCTGATCATGTCGCCGATTGGGCCGATGAGAAGGCCCAGTTGAGCGAAGCTTGCGTTTCTCAGGTTTTGCGCGCCGATGGTTTATCCGTGCAAGTTCCGAAAAGATTTCCGACCATCCAGCGCGAGTTTTTGTTCTTCTCGGACCGAGAAAGGGGTGGTCGCCGCGAGCCGCAGCGTACTCGCGGGAGAGCCACCTCCCTGTCCGAGCGTATTTGCAGATTGCGAGACGCAGGGCGTGACCCTGATGTCCTGAAGGCCTGCATCAAGTGCAGGCGGTGTGGATTGGGCTACAGTCTCAGAGGACAGCTCTCGGACTTTTGGCCCATGTCGTGCAAGCCCAGATGCATCGTCCAGCAGCGCGTTCAGCTGTTGGGGCCGCGGGTGGCGAGGGGTGGCCCAGGTCCCGACCCTGTCCCCGATGCCCTGGGGCCGTCGGATCTGTGTGGGGGTGCCCTGGACCGTCCCCTTGGCGACCGCTGTTACCCCTCCCACCGACTGTCGGTCCTGAGGGGTGTCCTGCTTTGCGCTGTCAGTGGAGGACATTGTTCTGTCGCACCTCCCCGCGTCCTGAAAGGAGTGTGCGGTGAAGCCTCGAGAGCGGGGCGAGAGGTGCTGTCGCGCCATCAGAGGGGACTGCCACTAAAGTCTGGCACGTCGTCCCCCGACAGAGGCTGATTGTTGAATGAGCGGCCTGCCTAGAGCACGACCCTGCCTTATATATATATATATATATATATATATATATATACATATATATAGGAAAAAAACATAGAATTCGAACTCGACCTCGCTCCCGCGGGCTCTACATTTAGGGGCCATGGCACAGGCCCCCGTACGAATTTTAGTTGCGTGTTGCATTTCAGGATGTTTTTTTCCGTCGCGCGCGACATGGTTGTTGTCCACGGCAAAGGCCGACTTCGGCAATTTCTTTCGGCACTTGCCACTGCACTGGTACCCTTGCCAGCCGAGCGCCGTGAACCCAGCGGCAATGCAACCTGCGCGTGCAACTTTACTCTTCCTCGTAGCGCCGCATATATTGCACCACGTAGCTTACATCACGTAGCTTGTACCACGTAGCCTACACGTTCACAGTACAACGAATTTTTGTTTGGAGTCCATGCGTTCTTCGTACGTTCTTCGTTTATGCAGGCATGCCAAGCTCCAGGAATTGCAGTTCTGCTCTTGCACGAGGACTTGCCTTCAACCCCGAGACGCTCTTGTTTGGACAGAACAATGGGGGCCGGCCCCCTCGGCCCTGGACCCAAAGGAAGAGGAGGAGGAGGAGGAGGAGGAGGAGGAGGAGGAGGAGGAGGAGGAGGGAGGAGGAGGAGGAGGAGGAGGAGAGGACAGGAGGAGGAGGAGGAGGAGGAGGAGGAGGAGGAGCAGGAGGAGGAGGAGGAGGAGGAGGGAGGAGGAGGAGGAGGAGGAGGAGGAGGAGGAGGAGGAGGAGGAGGAAGCGGTCGATCGCGGCCCTGGGAGGCCGCGGGTGGACAACGACACGTCGGCGGATGTCAGGGCCGCCGGCCAGGGCCGGCGGCCGGCGCCCGTGCGCGGACGGGCCCGAGCCTCGCGATGGGGTGCTTTGGAGGCCGTGGGGGCCTCCTTGGAACTCCTGGGGGCACCTTGGGCCAGGGGCACCTTGGGCCTTTCTTCCTCCTCCGCCTCCTCCTCCATCTCCTCCACGAGAGGTTTGCATCCAGCTAGCGCGGGCATTGGCGCCGCCGCCGCTTCCACCTCAACCGCCAACACTGCGCGCAACCGCCGTCACGGCGCGCGACCGACGCGACTGCACTTCACCCGACGCAGTGCCATCGCCGGCGTGTCCGCGTTTTGCCAGCGAGACCAGCGCCACTGTTGCGACTGGGGCCACGTCCAGATGCCTCGCTAATCCGCGAGATCATTGCTCTTCCGCCCGTGGCCTTGCCTAGAGCTACGGGCGCCCCGCTGACTCTACAACAAAAAAAACTTTAGCAACACCCGAAAGAGTGACCGTTCGCCAGAGTGACCTTTGGTGCGGCCCACAGGGGGTACCCTGGCACTGGCCTGCGCGCTTTGGTTTGAGGTTGCACCGCACTCCAAAGGTCAGTATACTGCCTAGGGTCGCTCCTGCGTGTGCAGTCGGGCATCTGAGAAGTGAGCCTCCTCCCGAAAAGCTGGGCCAGCCTGTCTCGAACGACTTGCCAGAAAGCTGGCCCAGTGCCCTGACCACGTTCGCCCTTCCAGCGCTGATGCCAGGAGTCCGCCCAGGCCGGTTCCAAGCAATGCTTCCGGCAAGCCGCCCCAGATCTCTTAACCCGATAGCCTCCTCGACCACACCGTCGGCCGCGGTCGGCCCAGGGCCTGCAGGCCGTGACTGCGCCCTGCCGGCGCCCCGAGGGGCCCACGGCGCCCCCGTCGGCCGGGCGCGCCGCCGCGCCGGGGCCGTCTCCGGCGCTCCCGCCGCCGCCGCACGCCCCGCTCCCGATCTGTCCCCCGCTGCTCGGTGCTTCTCGTCCTGCCCTCCGCTCCCGTCGGCCTCCGGCTCCTGCCTCCGCCGCCTCTCGGGTCTCCTCTCCCGGGTGCCTCCTCTGCCCCTGCCTCCCCAGATCTCCAACGCGATGTTTGGCTTTCTCCGCCGGCGTGTTTTGTCGTTGTGGTTGTTGTGGTTGTTGTTGTTGCTGTTGCTGTTGCTGTTGCTGTTGTTGTTGTGGTTGTGGTTTTTGTTGTTGCTGCTGCTGCTGTTGTTGTTGTTGTTGCTGCTGTTATTGTTGTTGTTGTTGTTGTTGTTGTTGTTGTTGTTGTTGTTGTTGTTGTTGTGGTTGTTGTGGTTGTTGTTGTTGCTGTTGTTGTTGTTGTTGTTATTGTTGCTGCTGCTGCTGTTGTTGTTGTTACTGTTGTTGTTGTTGTTGTTGTTGTTGTTGTTATTGTTCTTGTGTTGTTTGTGGTTATTCTGTTTTTGTTGTTGTTATTGTTGTTGTTGCTGCTGTTGTTGTTGTTGTTGTTGTGGTTGTTCTTCTGTTTTTTGTTGTGCCATCCCCCAGATCTCGGCCCTCCGAGGGCCGACATCTGGAGAACACATGGATCTCTGGGGCGAGGAGCTGGCCCAGGGAAGTGGTCGACACCTCCGGGGCCGTGCATGGAGGAAAATCACACCGTTGGGTGTCTGGGTCTGCCTCTGTTCCCTGTCCCGCTCCCTGGTGTCTCTCTTCATCTCTCTCTCTCTCTCTCATTTCTGTTGTCTCTCTCTCTCTCTGTCTGTCTTTCTCTCTCTCTCTCTCATTATTGTTGTCTCTTTCTCATAACACGGATGTGACAGTTCTCAGTGTCTCGTCTCCTGCTTTTACTGGGCCCCTTGCCTGGGCGCCCGGCGAGTTGAAAGAAGTCCTGAGCACGATGGAATCGATGTCCGAGAAGATCATCACGGCCCGCTCCAGCGCTCCTCCTTCTCCTGCAGGGAGGAGGAGGAGGAGGAGGAGGAGGAGGAGGAGGAGGAGGAGGAAGAGCAGGAGGAAAAGGAGGAGGAGGATTGGGGAGGAGGCGGAGGAGGATTGGAGGGGAGGCGGAAGAGGAGGAGGAGGAGGAGGAGGAGGAGGAGCAGCAGGAGAAGGAGGAGGAGGAGGAGGAGGAACTTTTCAAGGGACTTCCCCAAACCGGCTCAGTCGGGACTAGGCTTGTGAGGACTTCATCTGAGTGGCCTCCCGTCTTGCAAGCGAGAGATGACCCAGGCGCCCATCTTCGTGGGCGGCTCTCCATTCTGGCATTTGCATTCGGCTGCTACCCCCCTGAGATGACCTTTTCCTTCCAACGCATGGCAACTTCATTTGAGACATACCCAGTAGGGTTCATAAAACTGGAGCTCATGGGATGGGCGGGGTGCGGTTGGGGAGGTGGGGGGCCTGGGCAGTCACTAGACAGCCAGGCGTTCAAAACAGATCGGCTGACAGTTTTACTGACAGGGCTGCGGCAATCGATGCAGCTCCAACGGTTGTTTTGCAACCACGGGTGATTCGAGCCCTCTTGAACTCTGGCAAGGGCACAGGGTCAGGACCGCGAGGAAGACAAGGAGGAGGAGGAGGAGGAGGAGGAGGAGGAGGAGGAGGAGGAGGAGGAGGAAGGGGGAGGAGGAAGAGCAGCAGGAGCAGGAGGAGGAGGAGGAGGAGGAGGAGGAGGAGGAGGAGGAGGAGGAGGAGGAGGAGGAGGAGGAGGAGGCGGAGGCGGAGGAGGAGGAGGAGGAGGAGGAGGAAGGGAAGAGAAGAAGAAACAAGGAGGAGGAGGAGGAGAGGAGGAGGAAGAAGAGGAGGAGAGGAGGAGGAGGAGGTGGAGGAGGAGGAGGAGGAGGAGGGGGAGGAGGGTAGGAGGGGAGGATAAGGAGGAGGAGGAGGATAAGGAGGAAGAGGAATAGGAGGAGAAAGAACATGGAGGAGGAGGGAGGAAGAAGGAGGAGAGGGAAAAACATAATGAGGACGGGAAGAGGAAGAAAATTATGAGGAGGAGACGTAGGAGGAGAAGGAGTAGTAGGAAGAGGAGGAGGAGGAGGAGGAGGAGGAGGAGGAGGAGGAGGAGGAGGAGGAGGAAAAGAGGAGGAGGAGGAGGAGGAGGAGGAGGAGGAGTGGGAGGAGGAGGAGGAGGAGGAGGAGGAGAAGGAGGAGGAGGAGGAGGAGGAGGAGGAGGAGGAAGAGGAGCAGGAAGAGGAGGCGGAGGAGCAGGAGGAGGCACGAGGAGGATCAGCAGCGTCGCCGTCGTCGCCGAGACGAGACTCCCGGGACCTCCTCTCCGCCCTGCTCGCCTCTGTCAGGATAGATCAGCAGCGTCGCCGTCGTCGCCGAGACGAGACTCCCGGGACCTCCTCTCCGCCCTGCTCGCCTCTGTCAGGATAGATCCAGCCGCGTAGAGAGACAGCGAGGGTGCAGGGGGTCCGGAGACCACGGGACGGGGGTAGCGACGACGACGACGACGACGACGACGGCGACGCTGCCAGCGCGGGGCGGCTTGTCGATGCGGGCGCTGGGCTGGGCCACCTTGCGCGCGGCCTGCGGAGCAGGGCAGGCACGGCCGGTTCCCGAGCGGAGGCGGGCGGGGCAGTCCGTGGCGGCGGCGGCAAGGACCGAGGCTGTTCGCGGTGGAGGGAGTGTAGGACTCGACTCGATTCCTTGGATTCGATTCGATTTCGACGGCCTCCGATTCCGATTCGATTCGACTTGGGATTCCGATGCGGATTCCGGCCCCTCAATGGAGGCCCCTTGGCCTGCCGATCTCCGCCACCTCCACTTCTCCTGACTCGGCTGCCGATCTCCGCCGACCCGATCCATTCCGATCGCCGATCCGACTTGTCGAGTCGACTCCGGGCTCTCCCGGGAGTGGGGCGGAGACGGATTTCTCTCGTAACCGAGTTTCTTCTGCGGTGGGCCGCCTGCTGCCTTCTTGGGGCCGTGGCCGGCGAGAGACGGGGGCTTCTTCACGGGAGGCGCGCATCGAGCAGCTCGGCCAGTGGGCATGCCGTGGGCGCGTCCTCCGTCCGCTCTGCTGAGGCAGCCGTAGTCACAGCACCTCTCCGCAGGAAGGGCGAGGGAAGATGGGCGCCCCGTTATCCGTGCCTCTTCCTCCTCGATCTCATCCTTCTCTGTGCATTCTGATCAAGTGGGTGCTGCATGGCAATGTCCCTGAGCGGTGTCGGCCAGGCCCACTTCTCACCAGGTCGAGTTGTGCCAGCCAGCGTTGTCGCCTGCCCCCTGGTGCTGCTGGGAGCGAGCACGATGCCCCGACGGGAGATTCATGTGCTGCGGATGCGGAGCACCAGGACCTTTTGCGCTCTCCTGTGTTTCCCTCGCCCCCACGTTCGTTCGTCGCCACAGTCGCCGTCATCTTCATCGTCCACCCGTCTCGTTTTCCTCACACTGGAAAGAACTATCAGCCAGCGTTGACTCCAAATAGATTAGTCTGTTCAATGCAAGGAATCAGAGGGATCAAGCACGCTTGGAATCCGCAATTCAGCAAGCAAGCAAGCGTGCAAGCAAGCGCGCAAGCAAGCAAGCAAGCACGCGTGCAAGCGCGCAAGCAGGCAAGCAAGCAATCGCACAAGCGCACACGCAAACAAGCAAGCAAGTAAGCACGCAAGCAAACGCGCAAGCAAGCAAGCACGCAAGCAAGCAAGCATTGGAAATACGGGGGGGCCATTGGAAAAGGGGGGGGGGAGGGGGGAACCATTGGAAATAAGGGGGGGCGCCATTGGAAAAAGGGGGGGGGGCTAAAGACCAATTCCTCATGATGAGCTAGGACTCCTATAGGGCAAGCCTATGTTGAGAATCTTGCCGTGAGAAATCTGAGGGCACATATTTCCTCGACTCTGAGCTTCGCAAGGTGCCCCAGGGATCTGCGGCCCAATCGGGAGATGAGAAGCTATCGTGGGGCATCCGCTGGCAGGCTGATGTCTTCTTACTTCTCGCCCGCATCCTTCCTGTTCTCGCCCTCGCCTTCGCCACTTCCTCCTCCTCCTCCTCCTCCTCACCCCCCTCCTCCTCCTGCTCCTCGTCGTTCTCCTCCTTCTCCTCCTCCTCCTCCTCCTCCTCCTCCTTCTCCTCCGCTCTCTTCGCCACTTCCTCCTCCTCCTACTCCTCCTCCTCCTCCTCACCCCCTCCTCCTCCCGCTCCTTGTCGTTCGCCTCCATTTTCTCCTGCTTTCTCGACGTCGTCGTCCTCCTCCCTCTCTCCCCCCCTCATCCTCCTCCTCTCATACCTCATCCTCCTCTCTCTCTCCTCCTCCTCCTCTCCTCCTCCTCCATCCTCCTCCTCCTCCTCCTCCTCCTCCTCCTCCTCCTCCCCCTTGACGCCGTCCTCCTCCTCACCCCCTACTCCTCCCGCTCTCGCGTTTCCTCCTTTTTTCCCTGCTTCCTCGACGCCTCCTCCTTTCCTCCCCCCCTCCCTCCTCCTCCCCTCCTCCGCTTACCTCCCTCCTCCTCATCCTCCTCATCTCCTCCTCCTCCTCCCCCTTGACGCCGTCCTCCTCCTCACCCCCCTCCTCCCTCTCCTCGTCGTTCCCTCCTTTTTTTCCCTGCTTCCTCGACGCCCTCCTCCTCCTCCTCCTCCTCCTCCTCCTCCTCCTCCTCCTCCTCCCTCTCGACGTCGTCCTCCTCCCTTTTTCTCCTGCTTTCTCGACGTCCTCCTCCTCCTCCCCCGGTTCCTGCGTCCCCCTCCGTTGTCGTCGCGCGTGCCCGCCGCGCGGCCGCCAGAACGTTGACGAGACCGTTCCGCCCGTCCTCGCGCTGACGAACGGAGCGCCCCACGGGAGGAGGAGGAGGAGGAGGAGGAGGAGGAGGAGGAGGAGGAGGAAGAGGAGGAGGAGGAGGAGGAGGAGGGGGAGGAGGAGGAGGAGGAGGAGGAGGAGGAGGAGGAGGTAAGGAGGAGGAGGAGGAGGGAGGAGGAGGAGGAGGAATAGGAGTAGAAAGAACATGATGATGAGGAGGAGGAGGAAGAAGGAGGAGGGACAACGTGAGGAGGAGGAGGGAAAACATGATGATGATGATGATGATGATGATGAGATGATGATGATGATGATGATGATGATGATGATGATGATGATGATGATGATGATGATGATGATGGATGATGGATGAGGAGGAGGAGGAGGAGGAGGAGGAGGGAGGAGGAGGAGGAGGAGGAGCAGGAGCAGCAGAGGAGGAGGAGGCGGAGGCGGAGGCGGAGGAGGCGGAGGAGCAGCAGGTGGAGGAGGTGGAGGAGGAGGAGGAGGAGGAGGAGGAGGACCCTATCTCAGGGGCCAGTTTCGGGAGGAGCGAGCCCATCTCGCATCTTCTAGGCTGAGGCGGCCTGGCGGATGTGGTCGTCGTCGTTCCTGTCGTCGCCGTCGCCGTCGGCGTCGGCGGCCCGACATCGACGGCTTCACAGCCAGGCGCGCCCAGCCTCTCGCTCTCTCACTCTTTTTTTGTGGTGTCAGTTGCTTTGCGGGAGACATCGTGGTTACGCAGAAGGACGCAGAAGGAGGAGGAGGAGGAGGAGAAGAAAGAGGGGGAGGAGCGATGAGGAGGAGGAGGAGGAGGCAGAGGGGGAGGAGGAGGAGGAGGAGGAGGAGGAGGAGGAGGAGGAGGAAATGGAGGGGGAGGAGGGATGATGATGATATGATGATGATGATGATGATGATGATGATGATGATGATGATGATGATGATGATGATGATGATGATGATGATGATGATGATGATGATGATGATGATGATGATGATGATGATGATGATGATGCTGATGATGATGATGATGACGATGGTACGGCTGATGAATAGGATACTGATGATGATGATGATGATGCTGCTCGTGCTGTTCATGGTGCTGACGATGATGATGATGCTGATGATGATGAGGAGGT